CATAACAAAATTGTGGCGTCAGTTGATAAATATTTCTTATGTAGTGATGAGCAAAACAAGAACAAGACCAAGACTGTCAAAGTCTTGGTCATAGTCTTGTTCTTGATAGCTCAGTCTTGGTCTTGGTCTTGCTTTGCTAACTCAGTCTTGGTCTTGGTTTTGGTCTTGCAAATCTAGTCTTGTTCTTGTTCTTGGTCTTGCTTATTTAGTCTTGTTCTTGTTCTTGGTCTTGCCCATAAAATCTTGTTCTTGTTGTGAGTCTTGTCACAATACTCTTGCAAAATCTTGCATTCATTTATATTTGTAAAAATTTTCTACTTAAAAGGTTTAAATAACGAAGTTATATACTTCAGTTTGTAAATTCAAATTTAATTTATATGCCATAGGATTTTTAAGTTAGAACTTAATATTAGCATAAACAATATGGATGATTTTTTTATGAATAGTTTGGGGTATTAAAAAAAAATAAACAAATAAATTAAATTATAAAAAAATAAGACGTTATTGAAACAAAGTATTTTTTCACTTTAAACTGATGGCGTAATATTGTCCGAATGGTAACGCAGCGGATGTGCGGTCGGGGAGGACGCGATTTCGATTCTCCTAGTCGGATAATTTTTTTTGCATTTTAATTAATTTTTTTCATTGAATAATGAACATGAATATATTTATTTTATGAGTTTACCAGTCGCCGGTTTTATGTATCGATTTTTAAAACCGGTTTTAAATAATAATCGCTTTCTGTTCATAGACACAGTTTTTAAAAATTATTGGTTTTGATTAACAAAACCGAAAAAAACTGTTATAACCAGTTTTTATAAAACCAGTTTCAGTCTCCGCTTTAGAAGTAAACAAAAATTTTATCTAATTTTATCATAATGTTTGAAGCACGGAATATTTATTTTTAATCTTCTTTAATTATTTAAAATTAATTAATTACAATTGAATGACAATAAATTTTGAAACATGATTGTAAAATTTTAAGTTAATCGGTAACATCAGCTCATAGGTAATATTTAATTTGAACAATACGCGTAATGAATAAAAATCAAAGTAAAATTTAATATTGTCGAATCTGTCATTAATAATCTTAACGATTTTAACCAACAACAATTTTTTTTTTTTTTTTGCAAGAGTGCAATACTCTTGCAGTTTTATTCTTGTTGTTGCAAGATTCTTGCATTTTGAGTCTTGGTCTTGGTCTTGTTCTTGCAAGTCTAGTCTTGTTCTTGTTCTTGGTCTTGCTAAAAAAGTCTTGGTCTTGTTCTTGTCAATTGAGTACAGTCTTGATGTTGGTCTTGCTGATATTATTACAGTCTTGGTCTTGTTCTTGGTTTCGTAGAAATGCAAGACCGAGCCAAGACCGCAAGAACAAGAGTAATTCTGCTCATCACTATTCTTATGTTATGTTTTAATTATGTAGTGTTGTTTTATGTTTATAATAATAATTTATACATCGTGAATCTAAAATGTTTTGTTATGTCGATAAGTAAAATAAGAGGTTCCAGTGATAATCAACCACTTGAATCAATTGAGCAATCGTCAAATTGTTTAAAGAGGCCATACATTAATTATTTTCAAAAACAAATGTTTGATAATATAAGTAAAAATTCTTTAATATTTAATAATATTTAAGTGTTTGTTATGTGCACCCAAAAGAAAATTATTATCAGTTTCTCATACATCAAATGCCAATCTTAGAACTCACATTAAGGTTATTATTATTTATTCTACTTCGTAAATTTGAATACTATTTTTAATATCTACTTATATTTTACAGCACGTTCATCTTAACAAATCAGATGAATTTAATGCCATTTTTAAAAATAGGCTTGATAAATCTAGAGCTACAGATACAAACCAGTTAAAAATTCAAAATGTTGGAAAAATGATTAAAAAATTAACTCAAACTGGATTTGACAATGCTAATTTGAAGTTAATTATTAATACAGTTTCATCTTTTTCATTAATTGAACATCCAGCTTTCATAGATTATTGCAAACTGACATCTCAAAAACTTCCAGTATCCCGTAGGACATTGATGATAGATGCGGAAAAGTTATTTGACAGCTTCATTAAAGAAATGAAAATAGAATTTAATAACATAAGTCACGTTTGCTTAACAACAGATTATAGGTCAGTTTTTCAGAGGTATGCATGTATCATTCATAACCATACCTATTTATTAATTTTATTTTAAATAAACAGTTTTTATAAAATAACTAAAACTAATTTATTTATTTAATTAATTAAATTTAGTTTTTTATTTTCAAATTTATAATAGAATAGTTATTTTTTGAGTATCATATTTTATACTTGTAAGGTGATATGTGAATACTACCAAATGAATACTTTTTAATTTTGAAAAAATATTTAAAAATTTATACTTTGATTTTTATTATTTCATGAAATTAATATATATTTATTTTTTAAAAAATTATTTATAAAAATAATGTACAAATTTAATTATTTTATTTTTAAAATTAGAATTTTCTATTGAAAGATCAGTAAAATGATTTTACATCAAAAATTGTGATTTTGCAGTAGGATTAAATTTAGATATTTTCTATGTTATATAAACTACCAACTGTAACCCACAATCAGATTACTTAATTTTTAGTTAACAACTCAGTGGTGATTTTGCTATAAATAAAATTTATTAAATTAAAGGTACTAATGCACTTTTCATTGTTAAAGAGCATATATAGGCGTGACTGCTCACTGGTTTGATCCTGTAAACCTTGAAAGGTCCAGCAAAGTTATTGCTTGTAGACGTAAGTTTGGTAGACATACTTTTCAAAATATAGCTAAACTTATTGATAACATTTTAAATGAGTTTGATTTGCAAAACAAGACCACACTTATTGTTACTGACAATGCTGCCAACTTTGTGAAAGCTTTTAGATAAGAGTAATGAATAAAAATTAAATACCTAATATTCATTTTATGTTGTGTGCTAGTTTTTACAATTACTAAAAATGCTATTATTCCACTAATTGTATGCATCAACATAGGCGTTAATTAATATAATTATCCTAACAAGAAATCATTTAATTTACAAATAATAGTCTTTTTTAATTTATATTCAAAATAAATAATTTTATAATATGATTATAATAATAAAATGTTACAAATTCAGTGATAGTAATCTCAATAATTTTAACATAACTATTACCAATCAATAATTTTTTATTGAAATTGTGTATCAAGAGAGAGTAGTAACCTAAAATCTCTATTCACACTATTTTATGTTTTGTTTAAATAGTGTAAAAAAATATATTGTTGAAATTTGAAACCATACTAATGTTTTTAATTTTCTTTAGAAATTTTTGTGGAAATGAAAAACCAACTGATGATTTAAATATAAATGAGGAAGAAGCTATTACAAATATAGAAATTTCTGATGTATTAGATGATGATTTGACCATAAATAATTTTGAACATTTGGTTCTACCTCCACACCAACTATTAGGCCAGTCAACGAAGGAGTAATTTTGACTAATGGCGGAAAAAATTCCCAACCAAATTTTTTTTTTTTAAAAGTTGAATTAAGATATGTATAATGATATACTAAAAGTCCTCATCGATTGAACTTGAGCTTTTTTTTTACAGCCTCGCAAAAGTTAAAAAATATGAGCTTTTTTAATTTTCTCAAAAAAATTTGACTTACAAAAAAAAATTTCGTACAAAAGTTGTTTAAAAAATAATTTTAAACAAAAAAGATAACTCATATTTTTTCATTTAAACAAATATTTTTCAAGTTACATTACATTTAATATGAGTACTAAAATTTATTTTCCAATTTTTTTCATTTTATTGTTACTTTTTATCATGTTATACTTACATTAGACACAATGTTATAAATGCATAAGTGTGTATGTGTGAGTTTATTTATTTATAGTATCATTAAAGTGTAGTGTATATTAAGATACAACCGATAGAGTAAGTAATTGATTTGACGCTATATTGTTTAAACCCAACTAAACGCTAAATTGTACATTCCCAAACAATAATTATATTATGTCAATTGCCACCGGAATTTCTGCTAATAATAAAGATAATTGTCATAAAACGGTCTTTAGTCTGGTGCTGGAGGTGATAAAAATTGTGGCTGCCATAAAACAGGGCTTAAATGTTCTATTATATATGAACATTGCAAAGGTCAATGGTGTACAAATTCAATAGAAATAAAGATTGAAGATTAAGAAAATTGTACTTTTGTTGAAGATATATTCTATCAAAATTTAGAATGGGAAAATGAATAAGAAAATGGAAAAAGTGGAGAAATCCTCCATCGATTACATTCTATGCACTAGTAATGCATATAACTTGTATTTAGGATATAAATAAGGAAATAGGAGATCATGTAGCTTTTGTAATAATCCATTAAAATTTTAAAATTAAACACTATCTACAGATTCGCATCAAGGCGTTGTTTTTTGATAATGATTTTAATCATCTATGCTGCACCCAATTATACACACTGTGGCAATTGACATAATATAATTATTGTTTGGGAATGTACAATTTAGCGTTTAGTTGGGTTTAAACAATATAGCGTCAAATCAATTACTTACTCTATCGGTTGTATCTTAATATACACTACACTTTAATGATACTATAAATAAATAAACTCACACATACACACTTATGCATTTATAACATTGTGTCTAATGTAAGTATAACATGATAAAAAGTAACAATAAAATGAAAAAAATTGGAAAATAAATTTTAGTACTCATATTAAATGTAATGTAACTTGAAAAATATTTGTTTAAATGAAAAAATATGAGTTATCTTTTTTGTTTAAAATTATTTTTTAAACAACTTTTGTACGAAATTTTTTTTTGTAAGTCAAATTTTTTTGAGAAAATTAAAAAAGCTCATATTTTTTAACTTTTGCGAGGCTGTAAAAAAAAAGCTCAAGTTCAATCGATGAGGACTTTTAGTATATCATTATACATATCTTAATTCAACTTTTAAAAAAAAAAAATTTGGTTGGGAATTTTTTCCGCCATTAGTCAAAATTACTCCTTCGTTGACTGGCCTATATGTGCTGCTCACACCCTCAATCTTATTGCAACAGTAGATTGTTTAGAAGCACTTAATGATGGAAACTATAAAAGACTTAGTAGACGTGTTTTTTCTTTGTGTTATGCGTTGTTTAATAAACAAAATCAGTCCAAACAATGTGCAGACCAAATAAAAGAGACTCTTGGTCTTTATCTTATTGTACCAAATGCAACTAGGTAAAATAAACAGGATATTAAAATTGATTTTATTTTATAATAAATACATTTATAAGTTAAAAAAAAAATGTATACTTATATTTTAATTTTTAGGTGGAACTCTTTTTATGATGCTATGAATGTTATAGCTAATAATCTTAATAAACTTAATGAAATATGTGTCAAACTACAATTACCTCTTTTTTCAAATGTACAAGACTGATTTTTTAATTGAATACTGTAAGGTAATATTATGGTTTCTATTATATATATATATATAAATAGTTAATTCATAATTTAAAGAGTTTATCATAATTATTTAAATTGAAAACTATATTAGTATATGCATATATAGGTTATGAAACCAATTGCACGAGGTTTAGATATTTTGCAAGGGGAAAACAAAATTTGTATTGGTTATTTATTATCTACCATTAGTGCAATAAATAAATGCTATGAAGAATTAACAAATCTTAAATTTTGTTAACCTCTTGTTCAAAGCTTAAAAAAGGGACTTGACAAAAGGTAAATAAATTGTAATTTAAAAAAAAAAACCAGTGTGTGTTATGAGTATGTGCAGATAATGTGAAACTTCTTCCAGAGTCATTCAAATGATAGAATATTAGTTTTATATTGGAATAAATTAAAAATTTATTAAAAGGACAATAAAATAACTAATTATTACCCTAACAATGATGCACAAATGTTGGTGGACAACTATTTATAAAATAAATCTTTAAAAACAAACATCTATTGATTTGCCTTTGTGTTATAATACATTGACCTCTCATTACAACTCTTATCTAGACAGTAAACTATGATAACTATTGTCAAATAAAAATTGTCATACTGTCACATATGGACAATATAATCAACATTATCTATTAAGCAATAAACTAAATTAATTTAAAACTTTCATGTAAATATTAAAATACACATAAATATTAACATAAATTGTCACTAATATGTCAATATTATAATGAAATAATTAATCATTGTCCAGAATAGTATGTTAAATTTTAAGATAACATGTAATAAATAATTTAATAAAGAGATATCAATAGCGTTTCTGACACTTCTTACACATGAATATAGTTATAAAAATTAACAAAACAGCAATATAAAAGGGGACAAAAAAGGCCTAAAAATGGGCAGTATACTCTCGGCATGCTCTCAGTGTCTCGTCAGTATACTCCCATGGCTCATTTTATATTGATCCAGGCGTGCTCCCAGTATTGACGCAGCTCATTAATCTCAATCGTTTAGTTCATGTGTAAGAAGTAAACAGATACGTTAAGAATTATTCAAAATAAACAGACGACTTAATTCATTCTCTAGATATCCTTTGGAAATATCAAGGTAAATGCTAATTAATTAAATTAATAAGGTTTAAAAATATTAATTCTTTAAGTACATGGTTAACATAGGGACAAAGAAATATTGAGTGATCACTAAAAAAATCACTCTGTCTTTATATTACCTTTTCACTATTCTCATAAACCCTCGAACTCATACCCGAGAAACTTTATTAAAACAAATAGTAACTTTCTCTTTCCCGATAAATTAGAGTAATTTTCTTTTTGAGTTACTATATTTGCCATTAAAAAAAGATTACATTAGATTTAGTACAGCAATTCTATCAGCTCCTATAGTAAGGCTATTTAGTGCAGGAGGGCAATTAACGGAAAATAGAAGAGGAAAAATGGCTGATAAAAATTTTGAGATGACCTTGTTACTTAAATATATCAAATATTTTAACAATAAAAAATAAACATATTAATTTGAAATAAATATTGTAATATATCTTTAGTTTTACAACCTACAAATAACTAAAACTTCCATAAAAAATCGGATTACTTAGTAAAAATAAGGTAATTTTCTAACAAAAATTATAAATAAATAAAAATAACCAAATTTGTTTCCTGAATTACACATTAGATTATTTTAAAAACTTATTACAATTACTTTTATTAAAGGTGCTAAAATAAAACGTATTTAAATAGAATTTTCCCCTATCCTAAATAAAATATTTATATAACAATATTCATAATTTTCTAAATAATGATTAAAAATATATACAAGATAATTTTTTTAACACTAGCCACTCAATTTTTCTAAAATAGTATATATTTTTTTTTGGCTTTTGTTAGTTATATATGTATTTCTTACTGTAACTTTCTAAACTAGTTTATTTTAAATATATATTTAAAAAATTTTTTTTAACTTAGCTAGTTAAATTAAAAATTTGGTAACTTTTAACTGTTAATTTATTGACATTGTTCATACTTAACTTAACTCGAATTAAATATTTTCATTAACTTGCCTATCTTTGCCAAAAGGTACAGTTGAACGTGTACAAATGCACACAATAATGTCACCGAAAATTTATTTACAAACCAAAGGAGCAGCAGCACATTTATTAGCAACGTCACACAATAATGAAATATAAATGTCTTTATATATATATACATATAGTTCGCTCTACCAATTTAAATAATGCCAAAAATGAATACACTTATAACACAGCACAATTGTACAATTATAATCAGTAAAACTAGTACGTAAAATTAACAGTATAAGGAGTTAGTAAGGACGAGGTAACTTACGTCGAAACGTTGTAAGAACAAACCAAAGGGAAGGAAAACCACACAAAACGAAACAGAACGCAATATCCGTAATCCATATTCGGCGGCGGCATTATCTCGGTGTCAAGGGCAGGGAGATACCCGATGACAACCGATTGTTATATTAATAGCTGGACGGCTGATATCTAGAGACACGAGTGAGCGCCAGTCTAGAGCGACGCACGGTGCCGTGTCACAACTTAATTACTAATATTTAACTTATAATAAAATTTTTTTAAATTATAAAATTCTTAGTATTTTCATTTTACAATACAACATTTTCCTCTGTGTACATTTGAAAATTAATGATCTTCGAGAAAAAATTGATTTCTAAAAATTAATAACATTATTTATCATATAAATTAGGTCAACAATTACAAAAAAATTATGTACTCAATACTTATGATTAAATGCAAATTTATTATGATCCTGTCAAGCTTTGGATTGAGATGACATGCAGTTTCAGTTGTATAATATTTCATGCCTATGTATAGAAATAATAATTAATAAATTTATAATAAAATATATTTTACTCGAATATTTCTTTAATTATTTTATTTTCTTTGAGCTGAAAACCAAACTTCTTTCGAAATTTCCAAAACTATTATATACGATTTTCACTACAACTTCATGACGAAAATGTTTGGGGATAAGTGTAAGTTATTATATACGGATACTCTTTATTTTACGAATTACAAACGGTAGATGTTTCTGACGGTAGATGATGTAAAAACAATATTAAACAATTCGACACGTCAAACTATAACCCTAACAACGATTTATTTTTCGTTGGCCGCTATATTTTTCTAAAATAATAATAATAATTAAATAATAAACAATAATAATTTTGATTTTTTTTGCAATTTTAAGTAGTATTTGTTTTTCAATATTTAAGTGCATAATCATTTTTTATGTACATTCCTTTGTTTCTTATAAAGTTACAAATTTATTATGACAATAAACATATATAAATAGTTTATATAATAGAAAATGTCTGATCAAAAACTAATTTTAAACTATTTGTTCAGGAATTATAAAGATTTTTATACATGCTTTGGAGAAGTAATGCTGCAGATTGATGTGTATTAAAAAAAATAACATAACCCGCACCTTACTTCCAGCCTCCATTTAAAAATTTTAATATATTTCTAATACTGGTTTAAAAGTTACCAACCAGCCATTTTTTTGGTTGGATTTATTACATACATTATTTATATAATAGAAAATAGACGAGGAAAAAGAAGAAAAATTATTTAAATATATATAATGTCAGAAAATATAAAGTTGGTATCTTTATGAGGCAAAGGGATTAAAAAACCTGATAATAATCACATATTCTTGTGTAATCATAACAAAGAATACTTTTTTTTAGTTTAACAAAATTTCATTTTCATTATTTTTATTTTTATTAAATGTTAAAAAATTAATGTTCTTTGAAATATATTAAAATATAATCTGTAATGTCATTGTTTGTGTTATTTTTATTTTAATAATGTTATATTAAAAAAAAAAAAA